CCCCCTCCCCCCTTCATGGGCTTCCTGTATGACCTCAGGTCAGTGCCTTAGGGACAGAGTTTCAAAGGGTTTAGGCACCAAAGATGCAGCTAGGCACCTAGTGGGTTTTACAAAGCACCTAACCTTCTAGGTGCTTTTGAAAATCCCACTAGGTGCCTAAATACTTGTGAAAATCTAGCTGCTAGTCTCTCTGTGCCTCAGTTCCCCATCTATACAATGGGATAACAGCACCGCTCTACCTCACCGAGGGGCTGTGATGTGAGGCACTCAGATACTATGGTGATGGGGCCACATAAGTACCACAGTTAGAGTGGGAACTTCTCTGTACCACTAACATCCTTTCCCTGGGTTTTGGCCCCTTCTTTTCACTTATGGCCCTCACATCTTCCTCTTTTCTGAATGTAACCTTGGCTCAGAGGGCTTGGCGGTATTTCTTCTGAGTCCCCTGCATTCTCTCTTCAACCCCATCACCACCACCCGCAGAGGGATTCCTGTTTTACAGGTTCATCTAATGACTTCCAGATCCTTAATTAAATTACCAGCCTTTTCTGATCTGAATCACCCTGCCTCTGTTTGTAAACAAAACACTGACTCCCTGCCCCAGGGACACAAGCTGGGAGAAGCACCTCTCTGCAGAACTCACATTCCACACTAGTACTGTGCAGTTAAGAGCTCCACCTGGGAGTACACCTCCTGTATGAAACCAGGGGAGTGCCAGCCCCTCCTCCCCCACCCTATCTAATTGGTGCACTTGCAGCTGGGTCAGGGCCGCGTGGTCTGGTGTCCAGGGCAATACTGGATTTACAATGGTGCCACTGGCACCATGGTGCTGGGCCCACGGTCGAAAGGGGCCCTGGTGCGTTCTTCTCCGCCCCCCGCTCTCTCCTGTGGGGTCAGAGAAGCTTGACTCTGCCACTGCTGGGGCTCCGTGGCAGCCTCTGCCGGCAGCCTGGCTCCGGCCCCGCCCCTTTCCCCAGTGTGCTACATTCCCTCCCCCCCTCCCTGCCACCGATCAGGTGGATCAGCTGCTTGCCAGCAGGAGGGGGGGGAGGAATGAGCCGCAGCACACTGCTCCAGGGAGGAGGAGGAGAAGAGGCGGGGGTGAGGCCTTGGGGAAGGGGCTGGAATGAGGCATATCCCCTCCAGCCCCCTGCGTGAGCACCCCCACGACCCCAGCTCACACCCAAACACACACACCCTCTGACCCCTGCACCCCCTCACCCACTCCTAATCCCCTGCCCTGACCCCTGCACCCTCTCACATGCCCCCTGACTTGACTCCTGCACCCCCTCACACCTCCCCAGCCCCCAGTCCTGACTCCTGCATCCCCCTCTCATGCCCCCCCAGCCCCTGCCCTGAAACCTGCACCCCCTTTACACACCCTCAGCCTCCTGCCCTGACCCCTGCACCTCCCCACACATCCTAAGAACCAAACAGGAGCTGCCCCTGGTAAGCGCTCCACACCCCAACCTCCTGCCCCAACCCTGAGCCCCCTCCTGCGCCCTAGCTCCTGGCCAGACCCCGCACCCGAACATTTTTTTTACAATATTTGGAAAGATCATTAAGTGGTCTGTCGAGACCCTCCGTGATTTTCAAGTGGTCTGTGGAAAAATAAGTTAGACTACAAGAACAATCAAGGTACCTCACTTTATTTTCATTTACTTGCTATTACTTATAGGAGGAGGATGAATTAAAAAAGAATGAAAAACAGGGGCGGGGGAGATAAGAGACAATGTTCTTTTTCTTGGCTAGGTCCCAAGGATGACCCCCAAAAATGAAGCTGAGCACTGGGCTGGGGGGGCCACTAACTCTAAATCCACCACTGGCTGTCACATCACCTGGGCTGGGGATACTGTCAGGGCTGCTGTAACTGCTGGGCAAACTAGGCAACCGGCTAGGGCGCCAAGATTTGGGGGGTACCAAAAAGCGGTGCCCAAGTTTTTTTTTTTACACTACAGTGGAGTCACATCTTACATGGGGGTTAGGTTCTAAAGTCACCGCGTAAGAGGAAAATCACGTATAGTGAAAATTACCATAAAGTACAGTATACACTAGAACAGGGGTCCTCAACCTACGGCACACATGCCAAGGGTGGCACAGAAGCCGATTTTTTTTTAATGGCAGGCTGCGGGTCCCGGCCGCCGCTGAGCCTGCTTCCGACCTGGGGTTCTGTTCACTCAGCCGGCAGCGGGCTGAGCAGGGCCGGCTCCTGCCAGTCGGGGTCCCAGCCACCAGCCCCGCTCAGCCTGCTGGGGTCCGAGCCAGCTCCGCTCAGCCTCCTGCTGGCCTGGATGAACGGTCTGGGGTTCCGTTCACCCAGGGTTCCGTCCACCGGCCTGGGGTTCCGTGCACCCAGGGTTCCGTCCGCCGGCCTGGGGTTCCGTGCACCCAGGGTTCCGTCCGCCGGCCTGGGGTTCCGTGCACCCAGGCCGGCAGGAGGCTAAGCGGAGCCAGCAGCTGGGACCTCGGCTGGCAGCGGGCTCAGGACCCAGCCGCCGGCCCCGCTCAGCCTCTTGCTGGCCTGGGGCCGCCAGGAGGCTGAGCGGATCTGATGGCCAGGACCCTGGCTGGCAGCGGGCTGAGCTGGCTGGGCAGGGCCAGCGGCTGGGACCCCAGACCTGCTCGGCCCGCTGATGACATGTGGTTCCGGCTGCTGGCCCCTTGCCAGCCAGGGTCTCGGCCACCGACACTGCTCAGCCTCCTGCTGGCCTGGGTGAATGGCAGGAGGCTGAGCGGAGTCACCGGCTGGGACCCCGGCTGGCAGCTGAGTGAACAGAACCCCAGGCCGGCAGCAGGCTCAGCGGTGGCCGGGACCCGCAGCCTGCCATAAAAAAAAAAATCAGCTCATGTGCCACTTTTGGCATGCGTGCCGTAGGTTGAGGACCCCTGTTCTAGTGTATACAGTGTATATTGTGGTTTATGGTAATTTTCACTATACGCAGTTTTCCTCTTACGCGCTGACCTTAGAACCTAACCCCCGCGTAAGATGTGAGTCCACTGTATTCATTTTTGAAAATTTATAATAAGCGATGCTCCGGGGAGGGGGGGGGTCGACGACAAGGTGGAAGTTTCACCTAGGGTGCAAAATATACCTTTCACCAGACCTGGGTACTGTGTCAGCTGAGCCACACAGTCTCCAACCTACCTGGCAGTACA